ATAATAATAATAATAATAATAATAATAATAATAATAATAATAATAATAAAGAAGAAGAAGAAGAAGAAGAATAAGAAAAGTTGATCAGAACTTAATAGTTAGAAAAATAAAGTTCTTAACCTAGCAAAGTCCATGATCCAGATCGTGGTCTTGATAGGTTAAACTATGAAGTTCAAATCGATCCAATATATCACTATCTCAATATTAAAATAAAGGTCACCTTGAATTCTTTATTAAAAGAAAAGGCATGCTTTTTACCGATTGTTGGCTTGCTTTTGGACTCATCAAGGTAATTAAATTATGTCAAAACAGCTTTCACACAATTTAATTTTAACTAAGTAAGGAATTGGATTGAGAAGTTTTAAAATTGACCCATTGTTCTGGGTTTAATTACATTGTCAAATAGTTACTTGCAACCTCTCTCTCTCTCTCTCTCTCTATATATATATATATATATATATATATATATATTACATTTAGATTTTCTTTTTACATGAGTCTATGTTTAACACAATCTTGTAAACTAGTGGAGATGAATTGTCCATGCTTGAGTTGTTTAAATTTATGATCTTTCTTTTTTACAAAAAAAAATATAAATCAATTGTAAACCCGGTTAAAATTTTAATGGATAAGTGAATTATTAAGATTATTAATCAAACCCAAGGCTCAAAAAAAGACAAATGAATAAATAAAATTACTTAGAGAGAGGTGAAATTAATTAATATAAATTGATGGTAAAAAGGGTTGAATAAAATAGGAGATAAAAGAGAGAGGATAAAAAGAGAATTTAGGGAACTTGAGGGACTATTATTAAAATAGAAATAATGAAAGGTATAGATATATAAATTGCTTCCTCCCAGCTGGAAGGTGAAGAAACAAAGAGGGTTTGTGTGATTTTTATTTTGTTTTTTCACCTCAAATTACATCAAATTAAACACTAGACATAAGAGAGGAAGAGATTACAAAGGGGTTTCAAAGGAATTTGGTTTATGAATCAAGAAAATTGTTAAGGGAAATTAAAGATCTTGCTGCCAATTTTAAGGAAGGGAGAAAAGAAAGAGAAAGTTGGTTCTAGGGTTTTCATCTTTATTTTTCTTTGTAAGTGGTATGATGCTTTAATTCATACATGCCATGCATCCTTAATGATATATTGATGAATTTTTCATAAAATAGCAATATACTTGGACTTGTGTTGAATGCTTGAATGTCTATATTAGTGTTTTGTGATGGATTAATGGATTAATGTTAATACACATGAAAAAAAATTATGGGTTGATGAATAATTGAAGAAATTGTTGAATGTGATATATTAAACTATGAAACTTATAGGTGAAATGTTATGATTATTTGAATTTGATTTGAATAATTAAAAGGGTAAATGTGTTAATTAGAATAAAAAGATAATTAGATATGAATTTCATTAGGAAAACTTAAATGGATTCCTTATTTTGGTATCATAACTAACTATAAAGAGGTTAAAGGTTAGTGAAGAAATTGTTTGAGTTATGATATAATTGTATAGAAAATAGATTAGATAATGTACTTGGGTGAAGATAATAAAAATGATATCATAAAGGAAAGAGTGATGAATGGAGAAATTTCATAAAAAGTAGAATTATATATGATTCTAAAATAAATTTGATTTGATAATGCAAGAGAGCTTGTCAGAAGGTCACACACAATGGAAACTATGATGCCACAAACAAGCATGATTACGTGAACAATTTATCTTTATTAGATTAATTATATGTTTTTATGTCAAACATTAAGATGGGTAATTATATGAAAATTTAATATTGGGTAGGTAATTAAGATTAATGATAAAAAAAAAAGACTCAATGAGAGAAACCTGAATAAATTTAGAAATAACTAAGAATAAATATTTAATTTTATAGGTATTCGATAGTGAATAGTGAATTGATTGGCTTCTAAATTGGAAATGTTGAATTTAGAAATATCTGAGAATGGATATTTAATTTTATGGATATTTGAAAGTGAATACCGGATTGATTAGCTTCCACATTAGAAATGCTGAATTTAAAAATATTCAAGAATGGAGATTTAATTTTATAGATATTCGAAAGTGAATACCAAATTGAATAACTTTCAAATTGGAATATGTTGAAATCAGAAATATTTGAGAATGGATAATTAATTTTATTGGTACATGAAAGAGAATACCTGATTAATTGACCTTGAAATTAAGATTGTTAAATTTTGAAAAATTCAAAAATGGATATCAGATTTTATTGGTAATAAAAAAATACTAGGTGGATTGAGTTTTTGCTAAATTCAATAATATTAATATATGGAACATGTATATGGGTGAATGTGCAATATTATTATTAAATAAAATAAAAAATTGTTAATAAATATAATCTTGTACTAATAAATATGATAATGTTTAAATTTTTAGGTTCTTTTCGGCTTTGCCATGATTAATATTTAGCTATGCATGAATTTTTTTTGAATATATTTTATTAAAAATATTTTTGTGTAGAAATGATACACGGAGTAATCTAGATTAATCTTTTGTAAACCATACTTAAATAAATATGTTGTCTAATTAAAAGTAGATGTGTAATTGTCTAAGTAATATTTAGTTAATTATTAGTTCAAATTCTTATTTATTAGGATATAAGAAATATATCTATGTTATGGTATTTGTTTTTCTATGTTGTTCATGGACACGTGTTAAGTTTGTTTGATGTAATTATTGGTTTGTTTCATTCCTTTATTATTGAGCATTATGACATCAAATAGTGCGTGTGCATATATATTCACTCAAGTATACTCGGAATTATGAAATATTAGATGAAAGTGTAATATGGAAAATTTATTGAATTTATAATGGATTATGAATCAACTAGGATGATTGAATTCAAATAGTTTTTGAATTGATAATGATATGATATTAAATAATATTAATAATTAAAATGTTTTAAATATAAAGAAAATTCTGTTGAATAATAAATAAATAAATCTGATTCTAAATTCTCTTAAACATTAGATTATATTTAAGGGCTTTGAAATGAGAATGTTGCATCAACAATTGAATTTCCATTAAACATCCTTGTTCAAAATATAGAAAGTAATATGCATTGTTCTGACATGGATTTTTTTAATTAAAAATAAATTTAATTTTAGTATATAAATTTCATAAAAAATATATACCATCATCAATAAAAACAAAATATATTGTCAGAATAGCAATACTTAATTTTAAAGACATACTATTTATAACTCAAAAAATAAATTTTAAGGATTTTTTCATATCTTAATTTTTGTAAGCTTAAATTTTAAAATTGATAATAAAAAATATATTTAAAAAGGACCAAAATATGTTTTTAAATCTGTGAAAAAAATGTATTATTATTTTATCCATAAGTTAATCCAATAAAGAAATTACCGAATTTTGAGTTTTTAGCAGCTCTAAAATACTTAACAAATTATTACTGAAACTAAAAGCGTCGATACATGACCTGTGATACTCTACCTTCAATTCCCACAAAATCAGGTGATCGCAGTAAATAATTTGACCATAAATTTTGTGCTGGTGCTTGCAATTATTGGCAGGCTGTTCTTGACCGGACCGCAGAAATGCAGTGGTGTCGAGAACGCCTGCACAAGTGGCCAGCCATGCCCAGAAGTACTTTCTTCGTCTGAACTCAGTGAAGAAGGATGATCAGAGGTCAAGCCTCTGCTACTGTAAATTAGATTTGAAATCTGCAAAACACCATGTGAGCTTAGATAGCCAAGCCACTGCTCCCGAGAAACCAGTTATAAATGATGCTACTGCTACTGTAACTTTAAGTAACCAGACTTCTTGTTCACTGCCATCCATGATCGGCGGTCTTGCATGCATGACATTACCACCACCACTGCCACTCTTTCAATGGCACGAACCAATCATCACCCAAATTGGGATTTTGGGTCAATCGGTGGATGAACCATTGAGCCACCCAGCATGGTCAAGGAAGCCTACCAGCCTATCAAGGGTTTGAAACGACTCCTGCGTAACTTGAACAGGCACTACACGACTCGGAGAAAGAAAGCAATGACAAGACATATAAAGATGGGGTTTCCAAAGCTAGGTAACCATCTTCGATACTAATAGCCATAATCTGAGCATGAGCGTTCGTCGCGACTACTTCTATTTCGATAATTAATTATAAAAAATAAAAAATATATTTTAATATATTTTTAAATAAAAAATATTTTAAAAATAATCATAATTACACTTAAATATTCTCTAAAAAATAATAATATGTTAATCTAATTTGACATTATTTAAGCCAAAAATAAATAAATAAATAAAGTGCAGAGAATGAAAAGCTGTTGGTGACCAATAAAGAAGTAGCAGAGGCACTGTATGCACTGTCTGGGACCAAATAAAAACCCGTCAATCAGTGGCTTAGTGGTGGCCAAGTGATAAAAACTTGGGATTAAGGGATTTGTTTTCTCTGTGGTCTCAGGTTCGAATCCTTGGTTACTCATATGATGGCCACTGGAGGCTTACATGGCCGTTAACTTCAGGACCCGTAGGATTAGTCGTAGTGCGCGCAAACTGGCCCGGATACCACGTTAATCTAAAAAAAAAAACCCCGCCAATCAAAAGGCATCCCCGCGTGGACTTGCCGGTGATGATAACTACAGACCTTGCCGGCTCAACCCTCTGATCCTCCAACTCCCTTCCAAAAGTCAAGCCCCCAAAAAATCAAAAAACCTAATTTCCATGCCACCACCATCGAATTGAAAATACCCATACGGAGAGATGGCGATTATTTATGCGGTTGTGGCGCGGGGGACGGTGGTGCTGTCAGAGTTCAGCGCTGTGACCGGAAACACAGGGGCGGTGGCGAGAAGGATCCTGGAGAAGCTTCCATCGGAAGCTGATTCAAGACTTTGCTTCTCTCAAGATCGTTACATATTCCACATACTTAGATCCGATGGCCTCACTTTTCTCTGTATGGCCAACGACACCTTCGGCAGTACGTATTTTATTTGTTATTTACTGGCGATCTTAGTTCCAGTTATTGAATCGCGAAGGGAGATGAAATAATTTTGTGCTGGCTTTAGTTGTAAAGAAAGCAATCCGATTTTATCTTTAGGCGGGAATTTGATTGAAAATTATTATTATCTTGGCATGTTATAATGTGTTAGTTTGTGGGTTGACACAGGGAGAATTCCATTTTCCTACTTGGAGGACATTCGGATGAGGTTCATGAAAAATTATGGACGAGTTGCCCACTACGCGCCTGCTTATGCAGTGAATGATGAGTTTTCTAGGGTTTTGCATCAGCAAATGGAGTTTTTCTCCAGCAACCCTAGTGCTGATACTCTCAGTCGTGTAAGAGGTGAAGTTGGCGAGGCAAGTATCTTCTCTTCGTTCGCAACTTCGCCTTCTATTATTTTTCTTGTTCAACTTCTTTACCAAATATCATGGCAAACAATTCATTTTAACGAAATACTGCCGCAAAGAGTGTCATTCTCATGATTGCATCAAAGAGAATACATCAAGCACAACAATCCTTCAAGAAACTGGCTTGAACCCAAAAGAGGAGGAGAATACAGTCGTTCATTGCTCATTTGTTGAGCATTATCTTTTTTAACTCGTATTCAGCAAGGCAGCATGATTGAGCTGGCCTTTTTTTCTATACCTCTATCTATTGCTGACTCTTAAAGTGCACATAAATAATCACCTATTTCACTTTGAAGTCAAGCACCTTCTCCGGCTATTTACTAAGTTTCTAGTGCTAATGATGTATAGTTGTTACAGGGGCTAATAAAGAATGATTGTTTGTGGACACTCGTTTGAAAGACTGGTAGTTACTTAATAGCATCACTACTTTCAGTTTGTTTTCACAATAAATTCAATTTATCTATAAAACACTTAGAAATCATGGAAACATCAATTTTTCTTAATATTGCACTCTTTATCACTAGTCAATGTGCTTAAGTTAAGCTAAAGTTTGTGCCTTTGAGCACTTGATCCAGGTCAAAGGCTTTCAGCTGTATAAAAAGAAATTCTAAGATTCGTCAAGTAGCATAAGAACCAAACCAAATACAACAAAGCAAGAGTTTACCTTTTTTTCCTAGCCTTGTGCCTCTGGCATAGGATGGTCTATTTTCTATGGAATGATGCTAAACTTATCTTAATCCTGATAAATAAAATAAGTAAATGAAAACAATCACATACATATTATTTCTCAGAAGAGATTGACATAAAGAGTTCTTTTCCACTGCTGCATCTTATTTTTTTCCTGAACCACTTTACTTACAGGACTGCTTCTCATTAACATCCTTTATCCTCAATTTATTGGACCTTTCTAATTATGAGTTGTATTCTCTTTTCAAATAAATGTTCTAAGTTAATTTTATAGTTTTAAAAATATTTAAATGAATAGCCATAACTGCAAACTTGCTGTCATTTGGTTTTCCTAATTTGCTCATGCATCACACAATATTTTGTTCCAGATGATTGTAGCCTTTTAGTTTATCTAGAGATTGTTCAGGAAAAAAAATAATTAAAGAAGGTTATTTAGGGCTTTTGAAGGTAATGGCCTTGTCTTTTGCTTCTTGAGCTTGTGCAATGTTAGAATCTCTTTTTACGTTTTTTCTTCGGGGTGAGTGGGGAGTGGTGGCAGTTTGGAATTTTATTTTTTTCCTCATTCATTTTATACTCACAAATGCTGGAAAAGTGTGTGCAGATCCGTACTGTCATGGTAGAAAACATTGAAAAAATACTCGAAAGAGGTGACCGAATTGAGCTTCTCGTTGACAAGACTGCTACAATGCAAGATGGTGCATTTCACTTCAAGAAACAGTCCAAGCGCCTGCGAAGAGCTCTTTGGATGAAAAATGCCAAGCTCTTGTAAGACCCTATGATTTTCTATCACCACTTAATTTTTAATTTTTGGTACATTGATGCTAAAGTTTTTTCTTATTTTGATTTGAAATGCATAGAGCATATTTAAATTTCTAAATAGGAGTAACCTGGAATTTGCTAGGGAAAAGGGCAGTTTTAGGCTAGAAAATGTGAGAAGTAGAAAAAGGAAGGGCCTCTCAATGGGGTAAAACACTAGCTCATGCTATATGATAAAAGATTTTTCTATGATTCGAAATTGCATAGATCATATTTAAATTTCTAAATAGGAGTACCCTGGAGTTTTCTAGGGAAAAGGTCAGTTTTAGGCTAGAAAAGGTGAGAAGTAGAATAAGGTAGAAGGACCCCTCGGTTGGGGATAACATTAGCTCGTTTCCATCACCAGATGCAAAAAATCCATATGCTTTTAAAGATAAAGATTTTTAAAAAAGGACCTTTTTTTAATGGGTATGCAAGATTTTAGAAACTCAAATATGGCACTCATATATTCTACATTTACAATGTCCATTAGGTCACTCCAGGCTCGTCTACTAAGAAAGATGCTGACATTTAAATACTTCAATCTCGATGATGTTGCCATGATGTCTAAATTAACTTGATTGGAACTGTTAGAGCATCCAGCATAAACCTTTGGATAGATTATTTCCGGGAACCATGTCAGAACTTGGTCGGTGGATGCAAAATAGATTTAGTAACATCTTACATATCAATAGTAATAGATGGTTACTATATTTGCTTATTCTATATGTAGTACGTATTGTGAAGGTTGGCATGGATTTTTAAGCAAGTGATCTTCCTATTTCTTCATTGTTTAAGTAGAATTGGGCAAAAAACCCAAACCTTCAAGTATCAATTCTTATGGCGCTGTAGAAATGGCTTAAATTACTAGCAATTGACTGGTACATAAAGTGAGCAGAAATTTTATGTTTACATGACAGGGCCCTGCTGACATGCTTGATTGTCTTGTTGCTGTACATAATAATTGCTGCTTGTTGTGGCGGCATCACTCTTCCTTCATGCAGATCTTGAGATGCAGTTTCGCTGGTGCTGAATTTACCCTTCGAGGTATATGGTTCTGCAACATCCATACATGTATATTTCATTCAAGGGGAGCTCCAATGGACTATGAAATTTTGATATGTATGCGGAATGTAAATCACCTTAGGTGCTGAAATAACACTGTAGATTCCCATGCTGTTATTGCATGTGGTGTATGTTGTATTTATTACAGAAAAGCCCGATGTCATGCTTGTTGTTGTTACTAATCATTTGTGTACATTGTAAATTCCTTTATTCTTGCTATTGTGTTATTTAGAGCTGAGTTTCATATTCATCTTTTGGAACATCATCTGCCAAACCGTGTGTTTGGCTTTGTGATGGCTTTTGTGGTTTTGATTTGAAAACGTAGGTTTAAAAAAAGTTATGCATAGTAAGTTTTTTTTAACCAATGTTTCAAGAGAGTTTTTAGTGAGATCCATGCACAATTATGCTATGTTAATCAACCAAATACTTTTAAATTTATGGCTAGGATAAAACACAGATGACACCACAGAACACAGATGACACCACGTTGCACCACAAGAACAAATGTAGCTGTTATATTTATGTAGTCTTCATATTTCAGTCTGGAAACCGTGTCTGACTCATTTCTTTCCTTCCCATTTTATGACATTATTTTTCATGCATGGTTTCGTGATCAAGCAGATGCAGCTTTTGTTTATATACTTAAACTGGGCCAAAGTAGCTGTGTTGTTCCAAAAAATTTAGGAGAAATTCGAGTTGGTGTATACATGCAAGCAATTTGAACCCGTCGTTTCTATTCAAGCATCCTCTTTTCAAACTTTTCTAGAGCAGTGCATTGAAGTTTTTTCTGTTCATTTGCCTTTTCGCTTAAATGCTGCTCAGTCTTATGGTCCAACAAGATACTAATATGGTAGATACTATTAATTTCATATGGTAATATAAGCAGCATAGAACCATAGCCCATTATAATAATAATAATTAACAATAGGATTGAAACCGTATTGTATGGATGACGTCACTAGCTCCTGTTGTCATTTATCTTCTGCAAGTGCACAATGGGAGAATGTGAAATCCAGTATCAAGTTGGGTTTAAGAATGTGTTTCTTTTGCTTAAAGTAAGTGTGCGCGCGCGCGCCGCATGATAGAGCATTTTGTTTTCAACATCAAAAAAGAATATGGGTGTTAAGGTATTTTTATCATCAAGAAAAATCTTAACTGCAAACTAAAAAATTTATATTAAATAAATTGAGAATTATATGTTTTAATAAATAATAATAAATGTTAATTTTAATCAAATATTAAGTTGAGATAAAGATATTATTTAAAATAAAATAAATATATTGTTTCAGATTGAAATTGGATTCCTAATTTTTTTATAAACAAAATAAAATAAAATAAATACATAAAATTGATTTAACTCAAATTTATTCAAACTATTTTAATAATATAATTAGTTTCTTATTAATTATTTATATAAATTTAAACTTCTATATATTTACTCAAAATTTCAACTCAATAATAAAATTGATGAAATATAAAATGAACCTATTAATTAAGTTATTATTTATTTCATTACAAAACATTTAAGTTAAAAATTTAAATTAAATTTTATCAATTTACAAATAATATAATTTTATAAAATCTCAAATAAACCCTAATATGTACATATCATATATTTATACAACAAATTAAAAACAAAAGCTATAAAATAAGTAAATACCCAAACAAAGTATATATACTGTAAAAATATACAATAAAAAATAAAATTTTAAAATTGAGTTCAAATAAAAAATGATTGTTTTACTTACTTAAAATAGAGAATCCTCTATAAAATTTAAATAAAAACAAGGATGCTAATAAATTAAATGTTGATGTAACTGAATATGTAATGAGATGTTATTTTATGATAAAATTGAGGGAGGATACGGTATTTGTTACAAAGAAAAATAAAGGAAGAGGAAGAAATTGAAGAGTGAGAGAGGAGAGTTGCTCATCAGATCATAAATTAAATATTATAGACGAAGTTACCGATGAATTTACATATGTTAGTAATTTTATCGGTAAAAATAACATATCATTATACTTTTTAACTTTTTTATATTTATTTTTTATCATTGTAATTCTCTTAATATATATTAAAAGAATATTTTTATTAATATTTATCAATGACTACTGCAATGGCTTATTCAATTAGAAAAATTCATCTTAATTTATTAATAAATTATTTATATCAATGTGTTTATTTATATTTATTAATTTTCTGATAGTATCTTAATATTTTTAATTGTAGCAACAAATATAATTTCTGTCCATGTTATTAATTTAATAAAAATCAAAAGCAATAGAACATATAAAAAAAAATTGAATGATTCAAAATAAGATTTAAAAAATATATATATTTTGAATTAAAACCCCTTAATCTAGCTAAAGTGATTCATTTTTTTGGAAACAAGAGAGAAAAAAGTCTTTAAGGTGAAAAGATATAAACCATTGCCGTCTTATTACAAATAATAATAATAATAATAAAGTAAAAATTAAATGATATTTTATTAAATAATATCTTAAAATATTTTTAGTTAATATGTTTTAATTAATGAATTTCAGTTGAAATTGAAGACCAGTAAAGATGGGCATCCCAAATATATTTTTAATTAATCTATTTAAATTAATTTAAATATAAATTAAGCACAAAAAAGTTACAAAAAAAAAGCCAGATTATTTGACCTATGTAGGCAAACAAGCTTAGCTTATCTGAAAAAAAAAAAAAAAAAAAAAAGGGCTCGTGTACTTGGCCTTCTAATTTTCTTGGAGGGTTCAGATAAAACAGAATCATCACAGATCCTAAAGAAAAAAAGAAAGAAAGAGTAGAATAACTCTACATCCGCTGCTTCCCACTGTCTTTTCAATGCTTGCCATTCCCTTTCTACTTTTCAAGCGTGAACAAGTCAAGATATCTCTGCGAAGCATGACAAGACAAAAGTAGCATTGTTTAAGATTTCAAGATTCCTTCACCATCAAGCAGCCGAAGGGGTTATGGTGCTATGCAAGTGAAAGAGAATCAAAGTACTTACCCCAATGGCCAAGTTGAGAGAAGCCAGAGCAGCGGCGGCACTGGCAATTCTTATTCTGTAGGGAGCCCAATTGGTCATGTCCTGTTACACTGCGCACCGCCTGACAGAGGAGTTGCCGTGATGAGCCGCCAGGGAACACCCATGTTGCCCTCTTCCATTGATAAGTAGGATCTGAAGATTGATCGTTCTCAAAGAGAGAGAGAAAACGAGTATGAGAATTTAATATTAATATTTATTAAACTTAGCTCATTATTTCATTCACGTGGGTCACATTTTACATTAATTCACCTGGCTCATATGATATTATTTTTCTTCATGATTTAATAAATAATATATATCATTAAAATCTTACTAACATTGATCATATCATATATTATAACTAAATAAGAGAACTAATAAGGGTCATGCATTAATAAGCCTGATGCTTTTGTATATTTTCTATGCATAGGGTCTTTAAAGGAAGATATTTGTCTTTTTAGTTATTTTTATTCATAATTTGTTTAAAAAATTAAATAATATACTTAATAATTTTATTTTTTTCCGGTTTGTTCAAGACTTTTATAGGTTTTTTTTTTTGTTTTTAAGTTTTCTAAATTTTTTAGTTTATTTAAAAAGTTATAAATCTGAATATATCACATTTTGTTCTTAGAAATAAAACTACAATTATAGTTTTTGGTGTGTTTTGATTAGCATCGAAGCCTTATTGTTGTACGTTTCTGTACCTTTTATTTGTATTGTTGACGATGTTCTCTCCTCTCTTTTCTTTTCTTTTTTGATGTCGAATTAATTAATTAGCTATGGATCCTGCAACAGTTTATTTAACATGTAAATTGTGATCACACGCACAGAAGATTAACTATAGTACGATTAGCCTATACTGAAACGACTTGATTACTCATTGAAGAACCAGTACATAATGACATATATTACGGTATTTTGCCCATTGAAATGCCGTTATTTTTCAAAGACAGCTTCCATGCTAAATAGTTTCAATGCTTCGTACTCTGTTATATTATTAATTGATAATCATATATTAAATTTAATATGATTTTCAATTTTATTTTTATATATTATTTTAAACTATCATATCAATTTTAAGGTCAATAATTACATGACTTGATTTTAAGTGAATGGAGTGTAGAATGGTGGATTCTCTCATTCTTTCTGTAATAGCATAAGAAGAAGAAAAGAGGTCAAAACCAAGTCATAATTGCAAATACTATAACAATTTGAACCCTTCTAATCTATTAAGAAAATTATATGTAAAATAGTATGAATTTGCATACGAGGCATATGTAAACAGAAAAGAAAGGAAAATAAAAACCCAGAAGCCTTAGCTATATGCTTAAATTAAGTATTTGCATACTTGGATTGGATCTTTGAAGGGGCGAAATAATGATGAGTGTATACTCCAACTAATATTAGTACCCCCTTTATAACAAAATAAAAAATAAGTTAACACAAATTAGGTACTCTTTACTACCACTATATTAGTACAAATTCCTGTTTTGAAGACCTTAAAACACACAACAATGCAGTTACAAATGCTAAGATATTATGCAGAAACATAAGATTTACAGATAATTATACTAAGGATTGCATTTTGCCAATCCCTTTACACTGTGAGAGCGTGAGATAATGCGCTTACAATTTTGGTGAAGTTTTGATTCAAGACAGTCGGCATTCTGCAGCATTGGTCTCTCTCTTCATGAGCAGTTTGTGTCATAACTAGCGAGTCCCAGCAACTCTGGACCTTCCAGTCGAGGATTATTCTCAAAGCTACGAGCAAAATTAAGGATTACTTCGTTTACCCACAGGAAAAATAATTGCAATTTCTTCTTTTATACATGCTTCTTCACTCATTCAGACATAAATTATATTCAGGGTTCAAACCCACGCACACTTGTTCACACAAATATTACATTCAAGGCTAAAAGCAGTTAATTTATGCAAGTCACCCTTCCATATTATAACTGACATGCGCTAATACAGATATAGACAGAAAACAGAATATGAGAATCGTGCCTATCTTGCTTCCAGGTAGTATCCAATTTGCGACACACAAACCAGCAGCTTTTAATGCTGCTGGTTTGAAGAGAAGCACTTGAAAAGCTCAAACATCCATTAAAATTGACAGTAGCATAAACCAAGCATCATATAATGCAATGTAGTTCTAACAGTAACCAATGATATGGTTTTAAATTCTCCAGCACCGACACACTGGAAAAAAAAAAATTAA